CGCATTATGTAACATCCGATACGGCTTGAAATTATTGTTATCCCGCTGCTAATTCAAAACAATCAATTAATCCGCAATCTTAACATTTCTTCTGACGCTTTTCCATGCTTAAGATGAACGAAATTATCATTTTTGACGCGTTTACTGGATTTTCCTCGCAGAGCCATTCAAAGGATGTTTACTTTTAGCTGACCACAGAAAGATCTTTTTTGAAACTTCTTTTCACACAGATATATCAAACCACGGTAAATATTTGACCGAAAGACTACACGGCATAAATCGTACGACTTAACACTCCTTCTCCAGCCACGTAAGGCATTCCAGACACGACAAAAGTTTAATGACGAAACTTATACCCCAAGCCAAGCCAAGCCTTCGCACTCAGCGGCTTAGCACTTAATTAGTTCAGAAAGCCTTGAGTATTGACTGGACGTATTACGTAGGTTTTCCCTTACAAACAAAAGCACTTATCATTGACTTATCATTGCCAGCGAGGAGTCCAAATTAATCAAGTCTATGACGGTATAAAATAAAGCGATGGTTAGTTTTTTTTACAATAAAATCAGTTGATCTGTCGAGTACAAAGATCATGTCACAGTTGGGACTGGTTGCATTTCACTATCATTTTTGGCGCCTAAGATAGATTAGGAAAAGCGGGAAAAAACAACACCTTTACCCCAAGCACGTGTTAATCCTAAATTAACTCCAAACTAGGAAATCATTCAACAAATCACCTTTTCGCTGATAACATAAACATAATATCATCAAATATATCTTAAAAATAAATAAATTTCGGGAATTCCTCAAATTTTCATGGGTCGATAACGATTGCTGGCGGGGTGTTGGAGGTCAAATCAAAGCAAACCGACTATTATTCAGAAAAAATAATACACTCTCTTAATACAAACGGATTATATTTTCGCGACTTAGCAATTGAGTCAAGACAATAAATCCGACCTGGAGACAACAATACCAACCCACCCAATGAGACCACTGTTATTTTTGTAAATAGTCCAGGCAATTTTTCCCTGTTTCAAGAACAGAATTATAGTATTTTACGGAAACGAGAGCGACTTGCCAGTTGAAAAAATTTGGAGCATTCCAAGATGTGTTGTGAAATTTTGTTTGATAATATGTCAGATATAAGGCTGGACGAGGGCAGGGGTGCACCTTCCGAACAATGAGATTGCGTATAGCATGTCATCAGTTTATTTCATCAGTTTATTTTTTATGACATTTATAATCATCATAAATTGCAGCTGATCTTGCCTTAGGTTACTAAATATAAAACCACTGCGGAGGCTTGTAGAGTTACTCCCCGTACGAGCGCAATCCTACTAAATCAAACCGGAAAGAAGACTTGACGCCGGTAAAATGAACCAGTTGATGATTTTTACACTTCTCATCTTCCTATCTTCGCTCACCGGATCGCTGACGTGTCGATTTCACGAACAAAATTTTTCTGATGTCGAGAAGGTCTCAGTACAAGCATTCAAGAAAAAACTCCTTAAAGAGTTGGGCTTTTGTTCAGTCCCGAATGTTAACAAGATTAAAGCCCCAAAGGTTCCATCGTTTTACAAACGTTTGATAGAAGAAGAAAACAGCAAGCCTATCCAAACCTCAGAATTGGACGAGGATGACTTCCTTGCAAAAACTAATCAACTATTTCTGTTTCCCGAGCAAGGTAAGTTTTTTAGGAGAAAACTTTTAAATTTTGTAACGCCTTTGCTACGCAAAAAACTTATCCAAAATCGATCAAGAAACGTAACTGTGTGATTTGCGCAGTGGGATCAGCGGACCGTTATTTCCTGAACATGAGTTTAGCAAGCGTGTCTTGAATTCGTCTCCACAGCATTCTTGACTTCTAGACACCATTGTCGGTATTCATGTGGCGGCATCTCGGTGTGTGATGTAACTGAAGCTGTTTAATAGTTTCAGCTGAACCTGCAAGTTTGAGAAACACCAATATTCAAATTCCATGCTCACGCGAACTGATTTCTTTAATACACATTTATCTCATGTAACGAGATACCCGCGTTATGATTTACGATAGCGCCCGAAGCGCTAACTTACTTTTAGTAGCTCGAGGGAGGGTACTTGTTGGAGAGGGGACGGAGCGCTTATTTACATTTGGACATGAAAAACAACAGACCTTAACTCAAGAACTTTAACACTAGGGTCTCTGATTGTCATAATGTTGAAGATTACGTTCAGATGAGACTGTAGAAAAGTAGACTCTAGTCTATCTCACGAATGCCACTGTAATGATGGGGGTGCTTATTGGGACCTTGTTGGAACAGGGGACCCTTATAAATAACCGGCACCCGAGGCCTGGCGGGGGGGGGGCTTATTGGAAAGGAGGAGCTTGTTGGAAAAAGGGGCAATTTGGGGCAATTTGCTATTGATGTGAGTGAGATAATTTTCCTAAAATATATTTGATTTCAGTTGTTTCGGTAACCGGTGGAACTGAAAGGAACTTAATCTTCAAATGGAATCCCATACACCCGACATTGGAGATCGTGTCAGCTCTTTTATGGATACACATCGTCCATGCGCCCATCTCAGTTGAAAACCCGGACCTCAGAAAAGGAGACGAGTTGCAACTATACAAGAGCTACCGAGCTTCAGGAACTGAGAGCAAAAAAGAACACTTTCATTCGGAACATTTAAAGGCAACTGGCTGGTATAAAGTGGAGGTCAGTGGAATGATTCAAGGATGGTTCTCTGAGCAGCCAAAGATAGATCTCAGTTTGGATGTTGCAGTGGAAGGCGCGAGGTCTCTAGAGATCGGTGGGGTGAGTGATGACGACGAGCCGCTGCAGCCCTTTCTGGCAATCAACACCAAAGAGAAGCGAGGCCGCATTAACAGGAACAAACGGAAAGCCGTTTCGAAGGAATGCCCGGGTACGCCTACAAGTACGTGCTGCTTACAACAACTCACAATAGACTTTGAGAAACTCAACTGGGACTTTATCATCGCACCAAGGATATTGAATTTTGCAGTCTGTAGCGGAGACTGCTCACTCAACATCAAAGGCAATATCAATTTCTTCAGCAACCAGGCACGAGCTGCGCCATTTGCAGGAAAACTTAACCCCCGAAAGCAGAAAAATATCTCTTGTTGCGTGCCAAAAACAACGAATGATATCACCCTCTTGCTGTTTGATGAAAGTGGAGATGTACGGATTTTAACTCTACGTGACGCACGTGCGTTATCCTGTCACTGCGTAGTGTAATGACTGCTACTGTAACAAATCCTTTACTCGACCCAGCATTTAGTCTGAAAGCGCCTGCCTGCGTGGTATGAAAGATAGGATTCAACGTAAGTGGACCATTTTTACACTAACAATTAGAAAGGGTGTAGATTCATGAGCAAGAATGTCACTGATCGAAACGCAAAAACCGTAGTCAGGAATGTTAGGTTCAATGGACTTTTGTTTTAATGAACTACCGTAGCTGGATGTCATTTCCGCGTTTTTTTACACTGAACCAAGCGAGTACTTTAGCCAGAGAGCGTTTTTACAAGCTTTTTAATTTAGGAATTGAGCAGAGATTTACTTTGTTAACTATTCCCCTCAGAATACTTATTTAGTAAGGCGACCATCGGGTAACGCATTGACGTGGTCGGTTATCTGACCCAAACTACCAGATAACAGAATATAAATGTCCTCTTAGTTTGAAAATTAAGTTTATAAAAAAAAAAGTTCTTTATTAGTCGTCTAGTAAAAAAACCGCGAGGACAATAAAAAATACAGAAAAAGTGCAGAGAGTTTAAAGACGAAGCACTGTCTTATAATGTTAGTTTTTAATTGGTTATCATCAAAAATAACCTTAAAGGAGAATAATCCTGAAAGGATTATATTGATACTTTCATCAAAACATAAATATAAACGCAAATTTAGC